GCAATATTGCTTTAACCCAATCCATTATTACTACAAAGACGTAGTATTCAATATACACGGATACTCGTTGCCGGCCTCGCACGTGTTGGCAAATTTATAATATATGTAGGATTAATTATTTAATAGTTGAGTAAAAGATGATTTTTGAACGAAGTATTGTGTGAATGAGAAGGATGGATGAAGTAAAAGGGATTGAGGGACTTTTCGCAAAGACGCCACGAACGAGTAACGTGTATCTGTGTCTTAAAATGTATTAATTTAAATAAAGATGAAAATAGTAACAATGTACTCAAAATAAAGATTTTATTTATCTTACGCCTACATATATATATATATATACACATATACTATGTGAGAAGGTGGCAAACGTTCGAGCGGTTCTACCTTTGTTAAATGATAGCGGCTGTCTACGGACTTCTACAATACCCAATACCGCAGATGCATTGCCGACTTTTAAGAAAGTGGGTTCCAGTTACCTCACTCACCAGACGAGGGTATCGGCAAAAACTGCCGCATGGCTGTACCACGGTGATTTTTTATCTAACCATATTGAAGATCTACGTGTATATTTATACTCATGATTTATTATTTATATACATGTACATATTGGCATTTTCAATTACTGAATTTTTTAAACGGGTGAGCATTTATTGTCATATGCGATTAAGTTCTTAAAAAGTTCATATGAAAAACACTTTTGATGTGTAAAGTTGGCAAGCACGAAGATGCCTGATTCATCGCCAGCCCTTCAAAAGTGTAGGTACCAACCTCACTGACTAAACGTAAAAGTATGAAACTTCCATTTTTACTCCGGATACTTTACATGACTAAACATTGTAAAGCCGGGACTAAATGAATGAACTTTTACCATACAACGACAGGCAAATGCGCGGCTGTTGACCCCGTCAAATATTACTACTCTTCAAAGTTTTATTCCCAAATGCTTATCTAATATTGTGGTACGTAACTAGAAACTCATTTACATTTTATAATGAAACTAGCGAACCCAACAGACGTTGTTCTGTACACGTTACTTAGATCCGACAAGTTATAAATTAAAAAATAAACGAATTGTCGATTTAAACCATACTCGAATCGACCTGAAGACACACAAAAAATTTAATTAAAAACGGTCCAGCCGTTTAGGAGGAGTTCAGTGACGTACACACGTACAGAAGAATTATATATATATATATATATATATAAAGAAGATATGCTTTAACATATTACTCGGCAATAACGCAGATTGTCGGAAACGGTTATGTTGATATAGAAATCATCTTTTACACGCAGAACAAACAAACTTTACCCTTTGTAAAGTAAACAGTGCAACATGAAGCACAATTTAATTATCAACAAAGCCAACCTCGCCTCAAGCGCATAGTTTTCAAAATTGCTGGCCAAAATAAACTCATAATTCGTATTGCATTCCCTTTGAGGTTCCCGGCGAAAAGGTCGACCTTTTACCGCGTAGAGCTCAAGCGACATTTTATATTTGTTTTAATATTGAAACCTCGTTTAAGCTATTCTCAAACGAAATTTTCGCTAACAATTGCACGAGTATCTGTACAAAAAATATGGGGGTAGGAATGTTTAGAATTGCTAAACCCTAAAGTTACACCAGTAATCAAGAAAATTGGCACCTATATATTTTTCGTTCATAGAGAAACTTATCGTTACTAGCCTTCAGATGGCTCTGCAATATTAATGTTGAAGATTGCCTCAACTCCGTGACTTACACTGCATTTTTTTTATGTAAGAAAATAACAAGCGAGCCTTCTGTTATCAGCGATGTCATTGTGATTTCTGTAGCATTCGTTTCGATGTTTGTAGCTTGGCTTGTGGTGTTTGATGAAGCATAAGCCGTTGTTTCGCCAGCCGTGGCTGTTCCCATCTATACTTCATTTTTGGTACGCGGTAGCACCATTCTTTCCAATTTTTTCTTCTTATATCATTTCGTTCCTACAATCCGGTTATCTTCTTCCGATAATCCGATCGAAAGACTGTCAATGTTCGTATCCAATGCAAAATTCTAACTGAAACAACTATTTTCATTGTCTCTAAAACAGAAAACGGTCCTTTACTTCTATCCGGATAAAATTTCAGGCAATAATTTCTGAACTTTAAGTTATGAATGTTTTCAAAAAATATATTGTGTGCCATTTTTATGTGAAAAATTGTCAAGCGAGCAGACGGTTCACCTGATGTCAAGTGAATAACGCCGCCCATGGACATCTGCTACACCCTAGGGTTCCAGATGCGTTGACAACTTTTTGAAAATTGGGCTCCGGCAACCTCACTCACCAGACGAAACGCTAAAGTATTATACTTCCACTTTACGCCGGTTTTCTGTGAGGTTGTGGTACTTACCCAGACGAGCCTGCCCATTCGTGCAACAGCCGAGGCTGCTGCGTGGCCCTACCACCGTAGCCTTCCAATGGGATTCAAACCTGAGACCTGTTAGATATGAAATAAGATCGCAAGGCTTATAACACCTGCCACTAAGCTATCATTGACTTAACATATGTACAACACAGTACATATAACTCTTTCAAAATTAAAACTTAAAAAAAATCGACTAACAAGGTAAGTAGAGCCAAATTTTTCCAACTAATTTAATCATACTTTGTATTTGGAACGCTCTCATACAGCTGTAATGGTCTGGAAGTATACATTCCCATTATAGCTGGAGAAGTCGAGCCAAAATATTTTAATATGTTACAATTTCAGGGGACTAGCGATAGCGAGGTTGCGCTTTGTTTTTATGTTTTTATTGTTTTTATTGTTTTTAAAAACCGGCCAAGTCCGAGTCGGACTCGCGTACGAAGGGTTTCGCACCATTCTTTATAAAAACGGCCAAAAAGTCATGTCTCTGGTATGGGAGCACCACTTAAATATTTTTTTATTCTGTTTTTTTAGTATTCCTTGTTATAGCGGCAACAGGAAAACATCATGTGTGAAAAATTTCAACTATCTAAATGTCACGGTTAAAGAAATATATTTCTTTATTATATTTCGAAGCTATAGCGTGGTGACAGACGGACAGACATACAGACAGCGAAGTCTTAGTAACAGGGAACGGAACGTAACCCCAAAACCACTGATCCTGTTTGCCTGGTGAGCCTGGACCTACGTGTTTGCTGGCAAACGTTGCGAGTAAACACGTAGGCCCAGGCTAGATAAGTTGCCTATATACACATATTCCATTTTTGTAAAAAAAACATTGGAACGACACTACATTTTTGAGAATTAGACGTCAATACTGACCTTAAGATTTAATTGGAAAGTAAAGTACCCAAAGTAAAATCTGGTGAGTGAGGTAGCCGGAGCCCACTTTACTTCATAGTAAAGTAGTAGGGTTGCAGATGCACCCTACGGGTGTTGCGAATGTCCATGGGCGGCGGTTAACAGTTAACATCAGGTGAACCGTCAGCTCACTTGGCACCTTCTCACATAAAAATTAATAAATAATGTTGGACCCAGGAGATAAATTAATTTTGAAATCGTTTTAACAAACACATTTACAACGGATACAATCCGCGTAAGAAATGTTAACACATACGTCCTCATAAATATGGCCACGCCTGTCACAACGGTGAGTAGCTTGAAAGCTCTATTATAAAATTCTCAATTGGTTATACGAGATCGTTTCTCTGTAATACATATCATCACAAAGACCGAGAGTTAAGTTTAATTGTCAATCGGACACGAGAATTTAAACGAAACCGGCCAAGTGCGAGTCGGAATCGCGCACGAAGGGTTCCGTACCATTATCTATGAAAACGGCAAAAATATCATGTCTGCTGTATGGGAGCTCCACTTCAATATTTTTTATACTGTTTTTTAGTATTAGTTGTTATAGCGGCAACAGAAATACATCATTTAAGAAAATTTCAATTTTATTTTCATCAATTTGTCTAACTATCACGGTTCATGTTATGTGATACAGCCTGGTGACAGACGGACAGACAGACAGCGGAGACTTATAATAGGGTCCCCGTTTTACCCTTGAATACGGAACCCTAGTAAAAGATCGATGAAATTCTTAAAATTTCCTAGCGAATTTCATAGTTGACTACGCTAATTAAATTCCACTGCTCCTTTGTGATTAAAGGATTCCGTGTCTATTTATCATTAGCGCTGTCAACTTTGCATTTTAAATAAACAAACTTCGAGAATTGTGAACGGGGTAAACTTTCGGCGTTCATTATGCCGCCGTTGAACTTTCGACGCACTTACAGTTCTCGCCATTTTGATTTACGGATAAATGAAAAAGAATAAAATATTTATTATTTATGAAAAGTGAAACAATTAGACGATGAACTAAAGGAACATCAAGACAGAGTTTGCCGTAGTGGATAAATATATTATTTTGAATTACTTTCCATGACATAAAGTGTTGTAAATAGAGACATAATAGTTGTATGTACTAAAGCAGTGGATGCTCAGTAACCGGGACATACCTCAAGAACTGATGGAGTAGGTTCAAATCCTAATTACTGAATCGAAAAAGTTACTTCTTTCGTATCTCTCAAATTCAAAACGCACGCGTCGATCAGAGTCATCATCTGCATTTGAAAAGCGTATATCACTAGCTTTACTATAAATAATTTAGATGCGAGGGCTGGTTATTGTAACACCAAGATATCAGCTTATTTTTCTAACACGACGCGCCGAAAGACGCGGGAAAGTCAACGAATGCGATCGAATAAGTGGGCCAGCGCTGCTGCAATGCTTAACATATGCGAATATCGGTGTACTCACAATTTGACGAGAGATCGGCCGTCGAAAAGATGCAGCAAGTACACAACCGGAGAGATCGTGTGAGAGTGTCAAAACGAAACCGGGTCACGGCTCAAGCGTGGACACTGATAAGACGGGGGTCGGAACAAATCTGAAAGACGAGGCGCCGGTTTGCTTAGGAATGTCTCACGGGCCGCGTTTGCATCCAGATAATACGCGATTGATTTTCATTTACAATTCGTACGGCGGACGCGCGCATGGGCCGTCGCGTGGCGATACACAGGGCCGACGTCCTCGCCGCTCGGCGCTTGGAGCGCGACTGGGGAACGGCGGCGCCCAGCCGTCTCGGCCAGGTGATGCCGCCCCTCGCAAACCCGCCCCCGGCGTATCATCCCTCGGATGTCGCGGACGATACGCACTATAAAGTTGATCCGTCAAACAAACGGAACTACGCGTAACGGACGCCGAAATTGCGACCGTCTACGGGCTACGAACACCTACGGAGGAATTTAACGGCCTAAATTCGGGTTTCGCTAAGGTCGGTAGATGCTTTTTTATGGAAAGAGGGGCAAACGAGCAGGAGGCTAACTTGACGGTAAGTGATCACCACTGCCCATGAACATCTGAAACACCGGAGGGCTTGCGAATGCGTTGCCGGCCTTTTAGGGCAGAATATGCTATGTCCTTGAAGGATCCCAGGTCGTAACGGTTCGGAAAGACCGTATATATAATACTAGCGGACCCAACAGGTAATATTTCGTAAAATCCGTTCCGTTCTCTTAGTCGACCTCTACTCGGCGAAAGGAATGTCTCTACAAAATTTCAAGTCTCTACGCCTTATGGTTCCAGAGATATCGTGATGAGTCAATTATCGGTGGAAATCTCTTAAATATCTAAATATAAATATATAGATGGTGTATTTCTTGTTGAATGTTACAAGTAGGCACTACTGTAATCAGCGTCCGAGCGCTCGCTTTATATACTGAAATTGATTATTATTGACACCGATGAAATTGTTAATTGCTATTTTTGATGATTTATCGCGTGCTAGGCGGTTAAGGAAAACATCGTGAGGAAAACAGAATAAAAAATCTCCATATCTACGAAATATTATTTCGAAGTGTGGGGTTCCAACCTCTCGCCCTTTGATAGAAATGGGTCCGCTGTACAGAACAATCAGGTCGTCAAATAGATTCGCTGAAGTTTCGTCAATGTAGTAAGTTTTTCCAATTAAGTTAAAATTTTTACATGGCATCCCTGGAGATCAGATAAAGAAATTCGTTTTTGTAACCAGATTTTGTGTTATTCATCTAACAGCAAACACGGTAGAAACTTTGGGAACGATTAAAATATTAAAACAAACTGAACTCGTCTAGAGTTTCAATTGACAGCTAAGGGCACATGACTTTAAAATTTGTAGAAATATGACTTATTAATTTCTACGATATTGTTACATTCGGTGGTGACGAACTTCGTTCCTGACGATGACCTTTTCTATTATTATTGCTTTTCACCTTTTGTCCTTTTCGAAACAACTGGCTATCGCAACTCTATAACGTCAACCGATTTCATAAAAGGACGAGGTTCTTTTGTTCAGGGTTCCGTATCCAAACCGTAAAACGGTCAGTATTACTAAGACGCGCTGTCTGTCTGTCCGTCTTTCACCGGGCATTATCTCATGAACCGTGATAGTTAGATGATTGACACCCATACAACAGACATAATTTTTTTTGCCATTTTTATAGATAACGGTGCGGAACCCTTCGTGCGCGAGCCCTACTCGCACTTGGTTTTTATTGTTAGTATTTATTTCATAGTTTCTTTCCCACACAGGAAGCAAAAACTGGCTACTCTACTTATTCAATTCTTAATAGATCTGCTAGATTGAGAAAGGCATATAATGAATGGAAAAGTAAAGTAAAATAAAATGAATTACAAAAAAGAGGATACCTGCGGAGTTTCTTTGGCCTGTTTCTTCTCCGCTAGAAGAACCTCATTACGAAACGGTGGTAGATTTAAAAAAATATGACTAAATTACTTTGATTTTGAATTTTTGAACAGCCTATACACAACCCACTACCGGGCAAAGGCCTCCTCTGCACAGAGGGTCGCAGAAACGTGGCGTGAAGTTGGGTCATTTATTGCCTTTTCAAGGCGAGGAAGAGACGAAACAACAGATACTTCCATAGACCAGTTATATAGTAAAAACCAAAGAAAATCATCAGCCTGTACATTTACAAATGCTGGGCCTCTTCTGTACAGAGGATATTAGGGCATAGTCCGCCACTTGGCCCCACTGCGCATTGACGGACTTCACATATCTTCGAAATATTTATAAGCTATTGCATAGCTTGTATCGCGGGCTTTGGGTCGGCGACCGAACCAAGAAGTTCCGTAACGAAAATAAAACCTAACACCCCCCACTCCGCCTACCATGTAGCTCGGCCGAGCGTTCGCTTAATGTGTATGTTTTAACGTGTATGTTTGTTCGTAATAGACTGGGCTGCTAATGTAACTGGTCACAGAATAATCGTGATGTCTAAGTTGTTTGAATAGCTCATATGGCTCTTAAAAAAGTATGTTACAAGACTAATCTTATAACATACTTTTTCAAGAGCCATCTATTCAAACAACTTAGACATCACGATTATTCTGTGACCAGTTACTTTTATTATCACTAAGATGATATTATAAATCAGAAAAGTGGGTTAATTTGAATAAATTACAGCTTAAATGAGTGCGTGTAACTTTTACACTCGGTTGAAGTAAAATAAAAAAAAATCTTTAAAATGATTAACAACAATTTAGTTTAAATAATGTAATTTATTATTTATGAATGAATTAATAATAAATCATTTCATTGTGGTAAGGGGAGCAAACTGCAAAGTTCTTTTATCACGAATCTAAATGATCGTACAAAAAAAGATATTTTCGCGGGACCAACTTTAAAATTTCCATTTAGGTGCTGTGTTATGGAAATATGCCTGTCAAAATATAAACTCTTAATATTAATAATGTTCGCATCGCAATTTTCGATTTGCCATAAGAAAAACACAGGAAAAATCATTTCTGTTCCATTTCATTTTTGTAAATAATGAACTACATTTCATTTGGATGGGTCAATATAATATATAACAATATAGTTTTGTGTATTCTTTTATTCTATAAAATATAATATGCCCATAATATAGATAAAACAATAATTTTTGAAGTGTAGGACTATACTTTTACAGCTTATATTAAAAATATCATAATCAGCTTCGAATCGATCGAAAAAAAATTGCCAACCCTGATTTGTTCCTTCCTCAGAAATAGCTGAAAGAAAGATCGGAAACAACGACTATTTCTCATATGTAACTAATTAAGTGAAAAGATCCACACAGGGGGTGTCGCAAATAGAGCTTCTATAAAATACGTGTGCCGTTTAACTAGTTACGGAATAGTTCCATAGCTGATAACGCCATCTAGATTAATTCCGTAATTGTCTTTTTTTTAATCATATTATAATTAAAATATATTCATATAGAACAATACTTCCTTCAATCTTACTTATAAAACCCACACAGGCAGCTTTTACAGTTAATTAACAATCCTGGTAAGGCATACATTATCCACTGCTATAGACCCTCATACACGCATTGTGTAAATAACATCGTGTTGACGAAATAAGCATAGCATTTTTTGTCAAACGAAAATGTATTAACCACCCTTACGTATAAATGTAAACACGTCATTAATTAAGAGCAGAGAAACCTTTTTCACTCACGAGAGCAGACAGATCAATCATTCTCCATTCATTACTCATTCTTCATCTATCATTCATTGTTCGTTTATTAAAATGAAGATGGCTTAGCTACAAGCGTTCGATCATTCTTCTTACGTTCTGTTACAGAATAATTTATCATTCAAGAGAAAAGTTTTATTACAGTTACGTTAAAAATATATACATTTTTGAATTGAAACAACTTTGCGCGTACAAGAGTAATATTTTATGGCCGCGTTATGAGAATTCTTCACGGAAAATCTTCATGCCATCATCATGCTTGCATATCTCATACATCACGAAATTACTTCTCTACTTTCTTACTCCTTATTAATATTATAAAAGGTTCTTATGCCTGAAAAAGTCTACCAACAACACTTCTATATTTCCGTACAAAAGATTCGTAATAATACTTAAAAGTCAATTTGAACTTTAATACCATACCGTAAAGTTTAAGTTTTAGTGGAGGGGTTTCAGGAAGGCAAAACAAGTGAGTGACTGCATGTGGTAAAATGTCACTTGAAATGTAAACGTCTCTTTGCTATGCATCACTACATAGTATAAAACAAAGTCATCCCGCTGTCTGTCTGTCTGTCCCTATGTATGCTTAGATCTTTAAAACTACACAACGGATTTGACGCGGTTTTTTTTTACTAGATAGAGTGATTCAAGTGGAAGGTTCATATGTATAATACATTGCACCCGATAATACATTACACCTGTGCGACGGAGGGTCGCTAGTAGGCTATAATTTTTATTCATATATTTATGTATACCTGTCTTTCTGTCAGAATGTTTCGCCGTCAGTCTATTCTACACAGACGTAGTCGCGGGAAGTAGCTAGTAGAGTACATGCATTAGATGAATTCAGCTATATAGAAAGAGAGGAGATAATAAGAGATAAAGAAAATGTAAATTTAACTTCCTCGTATTGCCAAAATGATTTTTTTTCACTCTATCCAATTTTATCTCAATCTAGTTTCTTTCGATTCGTTGATAAGTTGAATTCCTTCTTCACTTAAGAAAAAAAACCGGCCAAGTGCGATTCGGTATAAGGATTCTGTAGCAATATATATAAAAACGGGGAAAAATAATGTCTGTTGTATGGGAGCCCCAATTAAATACTTTTTTATTCTGTTTTTTAGTACTTCTTGTTATTGTGGCAACAGAAATACATCATCTGTGAAAATTTCAACTGTCTAAAAATCACGTTAAATGAAATACAGCCTGGTGACAGACGGACAGACAGACAGACAGACAACGGAGTCTTAGTAATAGGGTCCCGTTTTACCCTTTGGGTACGGAACCCTAAAATTGAAGTGTCATGTAATGACAACCCAATGGCGTAGTGGATAGAGACCTTGTACTTTGAGCCAGACGGTGTGGGTTCAATTTCCTGGGCTTGAAAAATAGTGTCGGATGATCATAGTGTTTTTCTAGTGCCACAGTTTACATATCCACAATATGTATAATGTATTATATATGTGTATGTGTGTATAATGTATTATAATGTATTATATGTATATTTGCAAAAGAAAAGTATGGTCATCAGGTCCCCTTGGTAGAAGCATTACTTAATTTGGGACCATATAACGTGTAAAAGTATGTCGTGATAATATCAAATACTTAAAACATTATAATATAACTAGCGGACCGCGCAGACGTTGTCCTGGACACACGACTGAAATCCGATAACAACTTACAAATTTAAAAAAAAAAACAATTGTGAATCTAAACCCTCCTGGGCGCCACCCAAAGTCATACAAAAAAATTTAATTCAAATGGGTACAGTCGTCTAGGAGGAGTTCAGTGACAATACACGTACAATAGAATTATATACACTCGTATAAAGATGCGCCATGTCACCGTTACGGAAAACTAATAATCTGTTACAAATAAAACGGTAATCTGTTGGGCGGATTAAATTAACGGGATGATTAAGGAAATTTGTAAACAATTTGCGCACTGCTGAGCACTCGCTAAACTTAACGACCCGTAAAATCAGTGTAAGGTTTAAGATGATGCGATAGAAGATGGCTAGAAATTGAGCCATTTGTAGAAACGGGGATGACAGATTGTATGCCGAGATCGATACAGAGAAAAACGGATGCAGAAATTATATTTGCATGTATATACATAACCCATATATACAAGTGATTATATAACGGACAGTAACGTAAATATATGTCTATGCAGTAAACTTTTGAACAAAATAAAATATTTATGTTGAGTTCATTCATGATTATTTCTTGTAATTACGTATATATTTCTATCTTGTATTTATTTGTGTTTATTTTTAATTTGAATTCCCGACGTTTCGATCCCGTTTCAGAGTTCATTCAACCGATTTAACATAATGGATAGTAGATACAGCAATTATCTTGGGGATAATGCACAAAGGTTACTGAACGTAACTGACAATGGAGGTTGATGAAACTTTGGTAAAACCTTTGTAATAGGTGAACCTCCTCACGAATTATCCAAAATAAAATAATATACAAGCACTTTTAAAGTTTATTTATTTAGTTATTTATTTAATCTTTATTGCCAACCTTCAGTAAAACAAGGTAACAAAGGGCGAACTTAATGCCCAAAGGCATTCTCTACCAGTCAACCCAGGACGTGGTGAGAGTTTATGGTAGGTGAAGCAAAAGATGCAAGAATAATAAAATTTTAATTAAAGAGAATATATATGAAAATAATATTATAATTGGATACAAATCATATATTAAAAAAAAAATATATATATATATATATATAGATATATATATTAAATTATATACATGTATATCTTATCGTTTAAACGAGCAATTCTTGTATATATATATATATAATCGGAATCTCGGAAACGGCTCCAGCGATTTTCATGAAATTTTGTATGTGCATAGATTCGGGGGCGAAAAATCGATCTAGCTAGGTTTCTAGAAATTGTCCTTTTATCCCTGTTTTCAGGGAATGAAAAATATAATTCGAATATGACGGTAAATTTCGCCGCAAGAGAAAATGTCATAATAGCTGGGTCTGTAATCGGGCGGCCCCAAAACAGACGGCCGTGGTTCGCGTCACGATGATTTTACACATTTATTTTTTTACTTTTTTTTTTCGATTCCAGATCATTGCTTTCTATATTTTTAATTTTTTGTCGATTTGTTATTTTGTTCTTTTTTTCCCTTTTTTTTTAAAGTTCTTTCTTTTGTGAAAAAGATCAGTTCATAGTTTCTTATTATTACGTCGGTAAGATCGAAAAATAATATGCATATTTCATTACTCAGTAACTTGTATCTAAATGTAATTTCCAAAATACACGATTTACGGTCCTCCGGGTACTATATATATATATAAAGTTATATTCTTTTTTGAAGTTAAGTTCTTTTGTAGTTACACTTTTTTTAGGCGCGTTTGGAAAAAATTATGACAGTGAAATTCTTGCGACGCGCGCGCACACCGTCACCCAATAAAGCAACCTGATCAATTTATTTGCAAAGCGACCAAGTTCGACCAACTTCACGGTATTACCATGGCAACGAATAACAACTTTTTGACATTTACCCATAATTCCAAGTAATTAACTAAATAACGCAATTGCGACTCAACCGATGTTGCAAATGTCCATGGGCGGCCGTGATCGCTTACCATCAGGTGACCCGCATGCTCACTTGCCTTCTTTTCCCATAAAAAAATCGTTATGAATCGTTATGCATTTAATTAATGTATTTTTTAAGAGAGTAGAATTAAACAGGGGGTAAAATTTTTATTTATTTTTCTTTTGTTGCGCTTAAGAAATATAACTGGTTACGTATAACATATAAAAGTATGAGCGTACTGCTCATACTTTTATACGTTGTATAAAATACATTACGTTACTCCGTTGAGATGACTTAACGTGAAAATTAACAATGTGAAGTATTAATCATCGTAAACGTCATTTTAGCATGTTAGAGTCCACTGCTGTACATAGGCTCCCCAAACTGCAACGAAGCACGATCCTGAGCCA